CCCTCAGCTGCCCCTATGCACGCAGAGCCACCACCTTCCCCAGCTCCTGGAGCCCCACCTTGTTGAGTGTGTGAACAGCAAGGTGGTAGAGGAGGCAGCCAATCCATAGGCAAAAATCAGTTCTTTTTTTTAAGAGGTTCTTGCTTTAGGGTGTGTTGCTCACTGGAGAGAGAGAGACAGTGAGAGAGAAAGTGAGAAATCACCCCCAGGGGGCAGAGCCATGCTGCAATTCCTTCTCCATTCTCTTCCCATGTCCTTGGGCATGCACATGCATGCATTCAGTATGATTTTCAAGCTGCTGGGTCCAGGACTTGAACTGCTGTCGGCCATGTGGGAGTCCAGTGATGTAACCACTATGCTATCTGCTGGGCCCATGGCAAGGATCAGTGATTCCTGGCAGATACAGAAAGGAACCCAGACTCAGGCCAGGCCTCTCAGTTCTGGCAATCAGCACGGATTGGATGCTAACTATGGGCCCCGCAGTACGCTTCATCTCATCCAGGCCTAGGAGGCAGGTGTCGCCGTTGTTCTCATGAAGAAATGGAGGCAAGGAGAGCATGGTCTTGTGTTCCTCGCGCTCCTTTTTTGGGGCAATACATGTAGGAGTCATAAAACCAGAATCAACCTTAAGAAGCACCCCTGCAAACCTCTCAATTGCACAGGGGAAACAGGCCCGGAGAGCCAAGATGTGCCTGGCACTGAGCGTGGTAGAGTTGGTGCCCATCATGCGTTTGTTGACTGCCCAAGGACCAGTGCCGCCAACATGCACTCCCCAACTCCAAATCTGATATGCCCCTCTCTGGCCCTTGTCACCTGGTGCACCATCTCATCTCATTTCCTGCATCAGGGTCCCAGCCAAGGTCATGTGCACCCAAGCCTCGGTCTGCAGTCCCCATCTAGCTTAGAGAGCCTGTTGCCAGGAGCCACGCGGGTGGCCTCCTGCACTCCTTCCCTCAATTCAAGACAAGGGCTGGGGGTCGGCGAATGCTGTGCCTCCCGAAAGGTTCCCAGTCGGGGTAATGCCTTCCCAGTGCCATCCGCCCAGACTTCTTGGTGACCTGATGGTCTGAGACACCCTCCCCTCTCGCTCCCACCACTCATGCCATTACGTGATCTTCATAAGGTTCCCAAGCTCCCTGTATGGGAGGGCTAGGAAGGAAACAAAGAGGAGGAGTCCGTGCAGAGCAGACAGCCATCGGGGTGCAGGGCTGGTCAGCACTTGGCTGGCATGGGAGCAGGACCCTGGAGACTAAGCGTCTGCTCAGACTGGCTGATGTCTGGAGCTGATCTAAGTGAGGTTCCCAACCCCAAGGATAGACAATATCACTGTGGGGGGGACCCCAGTCCCTCCTCTCAGACACCCAGAGTGAGAGCTGTAGGCAGGGTGCAGGGATGGCAGGGGCCTGCGGAGGGGCCCCATGCTGCTGAGGTCCTTAGGAATGAAGTTCCTATGGAATCTGGGAGGCTGGAACTCAGAGCCAGGGCCAAAAAGCCAGCATGCAGAGGAAGGGCAGGCCACTCTAACGTCCCATGGGAGGTACGGGACGGGGTCAGAGGACCCCGAACTTTTCCCAGCATCAGCGACAGTGGAAACACAGCCCTGCCAGGGAACAGAACTTGGCTGCAATGGAAAGATGCACTCCAGAGGGGAAGCTGTGTCCTCCCCATGAGAAGGGCTTGAGGACAGCGTCTGAGGTGAAAGGACACTGCGGGGCCCAGTCTATGAAAGTGGCCTTGGGAGGGAGGCGGGAATCCCAGCCGATGAGGCAAGCCATTGCTGCTGAGGGGCTTCCAGGTGGGGAGGAAGGGGAAGCTTTTGTTCGTCGTGGCTGGGGGAACCCAGCCAAAAAGAAGGGTCCCATGGAAAGGCTGCAAAGGACTTGCCTACAGAGAAAATGACACGCCAACCTGGACAGGCCAGAGCTGGGATCTCTGAGGGCCATGAAGAATCCTTGCAGGGCAGCCCTGAGAGGGGATGAGAAGCTAAGGACCAGTGGCTGGGAAGAATGTGACGGGGAGGAGAGGGGAGTGTCCTCAGACAGCCACAGCCCACGGTGACCAGTGAAGCCTGTGATGTGGGTGGCCAGGAACATCTCCTCCGTTCCTCCTCCTTCCCACCCAGGAGGGGAACGGGGGCTCATCTCAGGAGGCTCAGAGCCCGGTGGGAACCCAGTGAGGGAGGCGCTGATGGGGCTGGAATGCAGCTCCCACAGTTAGAGCAGGCCCAGGGCCAGACGTCTGCCATTCTGCTGAGCAGGAAT